AACGTCCAGTCTATATAAAATCTGTTCTATTAAGATTTGTAACCTGAAAATTTGAAAAATCCTCGTCGGTGATTGGCTTAAAAAAATTGGCGAGCACTACTGAAATTTAGCTGTCCAATAAAAGAGATTAAAGTGCCCACTTAGGTGGTCATTATACTTTCTATCGGACTTCTGAAGTCATCCTGTACATTAATAGAGGGATAATGCACCTTGTTTCGTGCATTAACATCTGTAGAAGCACTAGCACGCATTATAAGCCCGAGCACGTGGTCAAGAGAAACGTTTCGTCAGTGCATGTTTTCTTCCCGTTAACGTATACCAGTACATCGATGTGCGCATTTTTATGCAAGAATATTGTGACGCATTCATGTTAGTTATACATGTAATATCAAAATATATCTTATATTGCTGTTTCAGGAAACAACATTATTAAAAAGCTAAGACTATATGCTTTCTGAAACTGGCCGAAGAATTAAAGTAATTAAAGTGACATTATGTTCATTTTTTCACCGTCCTGTTGAGTTGAATTAGTAAGTTTTTAAAAAGCTTGTGTTAATGGTTATATACCAATAATTAACAATGAAAGACATTTCTTGATACAATTTAAAAACGACCTATTTATTAAAAAGACTGCCTTACTATCTTTAAATTGGAACGCTACCAATACATTCTTAACCACATTTATAGAAATTTCAGTTGGTCACGTGGATTATTGATTACTTTTTCATAGTTAAATATAAAACTGAACACAATTATGGCAAAATTTCAAGTTATTTTGATTTTTACCTGTTCCCTGACAATTTTCAATTGAATGGAAAGGTTTTAAGACGTGAACTTAAATAGGAAGTACTTTTTTTTCAATATAGAATGTATATGGTCTATAGTGGAAACCAGTAACCTTTGAATAACGTTAAAAAATGTTAAAACATGTTCTATTTGTTGTATTAAATAAATTACTACATGGTCGAGTGGTTAACGCTTAGTAATCTAATCGCTAGCCGCATGGGTTCAATCTTTGACAAAGCCAAGTCGTTAATTCCTTGAGAAAGAAACTTAACACTCATTGCTCAGTACTGGTTGGTTCCAGGAACGTATTTAAAAGTGTGTTTTTAAGTTAATATCTTCCTACTCAATCGAACTAAAATAAATTCTGTAGAAACCAAATAAACTACGTTGTACTTTAAACGACTGTAACTACGACTGGGTAATTACTGAAAATATGCACGTGCGTTGCAACTGGTTCCTGCAAGTATTTCCTGGTATTTCAATGTAAAAGAAAATAATGTAAAACCCCATAATACAAACCTTGTGTATATACACATGCAATTCTGTTAAGATATTGACACAATAGAAACCGACAGAAAGTAAAAAAAACTTTTGCGAATCAGTTTTTTTTCTCAATGGTTTTTATTTCCATTTCACTTGACAGATATGCCTCTTTTTTCATTTTTATCTGGCATTTTTAATTTATATATCTTAGTCCTTATGTATATATTTAGAGTGTTAATAAACTGTTACATTTATTCATTCATCCAGGGTTCAAAGATGCAGAGCAACGACACTGTCAAGTTCAAGAACTCTTTAAGTAGAACAAAGTGGGAGATTTTAGAAATGCTTACGCCTATAGTACAAAACTTCAACCTTCGAATATTTGACTACATGACCCAAGCTATATTTCTGACAGGCATGACAGGGATCGCGAGTGTAGGAATAATATTTGCTATTCCATATCTGTATAGTAACTATAGTGACAATGTTATTTTGTGCTTACGATTATTTGGATTTTTTATTGTTTTTCAATTAACTGTGAATTGGTTGTGTATAAAATACGTTGATACAAGTTATAAGCCGTCACGTGACGGTATTATTCCGGACGGGATATCAATTGGACAGAAAATATGCCATACTGTCAACAATAACCATAATGACAGCACCATGCGGTCTCGAAAAGACGCTACATCACTGAACATGGAAGTTAATGACTCACAAGACAGCTTTATGTATGTCGCCACTAAAGTACCCAGAACCCACACGGAGCCACCCGAGCGAACCCAATACCCATATTTCTCGTGGGCCCCGTGTTTACAGTGTAACAGACCCCGCCCACCAAGATGTCACCATTGTCCAATATGTGACAAGTGTGTAATGAAGCGAGACCACCACTGTTATTTTACCGGGGTGTGTATTGGGGGTAGGAATCTCAGACATTTTACCGTATTCGTATTTTGGGCTCTCATGGGCGCTTTATTTGCAAGCGTACACTGTCTGCCATTTTATTACTACGATATACTTCCATACACCAGTTACTTTGACTTGATTTTCCCAATAGCAATAACTCGTGCAATATTCGGATACATTGATTGGATATATGCATGTTGCATAGTGCTCGGATGGCTACTGTTACTGTTTTTACTTATTGCCAACACATATCTGAAAATAATAGTTGCCGGTATAAGCACGGGTAAAACTTCCTTTGAAATGGATTTCGACATTTATATTACTGATACGAGGGGCAAAAAAGATAAATTGATGTCAGTGTTTGGACCCCATTGGAAACTTAACTTTTTCTTTCCTCTTCATTTCATATATGAACCAGTGGATGATACTGTAAGGTGGCCAACAATAAAAGCTTGATCTTCAGGTTGGGTGATCACGTGACACGTGTTTTCTGTAACATTGGGTCGCCGTAAATGGCCTATCTCGAAGGTATTTGTTAATTTTTCGTTACATTTTTCAATATTTGAATAATAATCATGTACCATTTTGTAGACAAATATTTGCCGATTCCATTTTCAATTTTTTTTTAAATGAAGCTATTGCACTTTACCTGACATGCTTGATGAAATTGTGACACAATGTTACCGCATATTTTCATAAAAATATTACGTATACCACAAAGAAACATGTCTGCAAGCATAGCGGAAAAAGGTCTACCGTGGAAAGTTTGGAATTAGCAAACACTTGCCTTGGACATGGCATTTTTTATTTATTCAAATATTGAAAACTATAACGAAAAATTAGCGAAAAAAAAACCTTTTTAAGTTTTGTGCGTGGCTATGAGAGGTGACCATAAGTTATCGTAACCTAAAATCAAGTGATCACCACCCTGTGACTTGATGTAAAGAATTATTTTGAAGTACAAATGTATATTTTGATATACATTGATCGAATTATAGATAAAATTGTAAAAAAGCTATCAGAACATTTTTTTTAATGTTTATAATGGTATATTTATTTTACGGTTTGTCGAATGCTAAATAAATTAGAAAATATAAAAAACCACCACTGTTGTTTTTTCTATATCTCCTCTCAAAAATCGCAAAGGCATCTAAAATGTTAACAAAGGGAAGTAATCGAAACTTATATATAATTTTTGTACCATACCGTATTAGAGTAATCAATTCTAGGTGAATGCTGATTTTTCTTTTAAATTACTATAAATGTTAGTAGGCGTCAGTGGTTTGAGTTTTGACTGTGACTTTGGATTCTTGCATGTGAGCTAGCTAGTTTACGGAACGTCTTTGGTTTTACTCAGGTGCCCATTCGTGCCTTAAATAATGCATAACAGGGCACTTGAGGTTTTCTCCCATAAACAATTTTAGAAAGTCGCCATGTACTGTGTTGTTGCGACGTAAAACCAAATCATAACCAAACAGAAAAAATCCACAAATCCGAAGACATGAAACTTGAACATATACTTTTACGTACCTTGTACAGTTTATCTTAACGCACAAAGTAAACTCAGAATTAAGTGCACAAACATGCAAATACTGCTTTTTTATTTTTGTTAGGTTTAAGTGATACGGATAAAGGTTTCACGGTCGATTATGAAAAATCATCTAGCGTTACCAATTGAAAGTGTTTGTCACACAGAATCATCAAGATATCTAAGTTAGCTAAATATATCAGCTATAGTAACCTACAGGAATTACAGTAGAATTATGTCAAACATAATTTAGGAAGTTATTCAGATTTAAGCCGTGGTGAAATTTGCCTAATTGACAGTAATTTAGTTTGTAGAATCAGTCTATCAATTACACGACCAGTGCCCTAAGTGTTTAAGGTGTTTGCGTTTCAACCTAGACGTCATTGGTTCCAGCCTAACTCGGTTCACACGGGGGGACAACTTCATATGGTTCCTCGAAATGTTCATCTGTTAAAAAAGAAGTGCTTGTTTCCGGTAAAATAATAGTTTAATAGATAAAAAAAATAATAATACAAAAAAATACTGTTCAAATTCTTGAAAATGGCGTCCTCATATTGGAACTTAACCAATATATGTTTAACCAAAAGCTGACAGATCTTTCTAACCGATACACATTTCGGTGAACCATATGTTCCCCTATGAATGATTACGTGAAAATCATTCTTATATGTATCATAAATTTCTAGACCTAGAATCCGTTTTTTAAAAATCAAGACTAGCTCAGGTTGATTCGATGTATAGTAGTATGCCATTTTCAAGACATTGAAATTAAACACATTTATCTCCCTTTCACCGCTGTTATTCTCAATCCTGACACCGGAACTGCTTTTACGTCCATTTTACTGCTGCTTTCTTTAAAATATAAGTCATTCGAGTGCAGACAACAGTCACAGTGCTTTGGTAAGTAAACTAATAAAAAAATGCTCTGTATATATCTTTTATTCCTCAATTGAAAGAAGAGCAAAACAAGAATACATAAATATCAAAGTTATACAAATTTACGACAATTCAACAAACATAATACAATATTATGCCAACAAACTAGCTAAATAATAATAACACTGTCCTTAATCTTTGAAACTACAAAAACAAATTTCTGTCGAAAATTTAATACCGTAAATGTCTATTGCTTTTCCAATCAACAGTTAGATAGATAGATAGATTGTTACAAAGAATGTCTAAGTAATTTAATATACATAGATATTGTAGGTAAACAGAATAAATTGTTTCTCAGCGTTTATTATTGGTTTGACAATGACCTGAATCATACTTGCTCGCTTTCATTATATGTATTCTGTAATCATAGTAATCACAATGTAAAAATAGTTTTACAAACCAGGGGTCACTTGATTTAAATAAACATATATTGGAATACAACTGGATTCGAACCAGTCTATAAATATAATATTTTAAAAATTGAACAAAATAAAGCTTTTTTATCAATCATTTCAAAATTTATAAAGGGTAAATTTCTTATAAAAATCTCAACTTAAAAGTCTTATCGAATAAAGTACACACTGTTTTTACGAATGAACAGACTCTTCAAAATAAGCTGATAATCTGTGTTTATCATTTAAAACTTGGATACGAACTTTTAAATATCAAGTGAGAAAGAAGTCTGAGCACTTTTTGCTACACAAATTCTAAAAAATGCATGCATGTATAATATAACGTATAACTTAATAAACTGCTTGTTCTAAATGACCACTGAATGACGTCCATGATTCTACGAGGTCAGATATACCACTGTTGCAACTATCTAACATCACCACATCTCCAACATTCAATTTTAAATACACCGACGTCGAAGCTTCGTAACTTCCGTTGTCTGCACCATTTGACCCGTCCTGTGGATTTGTGTGAGCTAACACTTTATATGATCCGTTTAGATAAATGTAACATCCGACATAGTCGACACTAGGTGACCGTTTTTTAACGATGTGTAAAGAAAAGTAGTAGAGCCCGCTAACAGGGCATGTAAACTTGCCAGTCAATGTATCAAACGCGTTCCCTTCGTTTGTAATGACCTTTGCAAATGACAAAAAGTTTGATGTAACACCCGCCTTAGGTGTGGTCACTGTGAACGCAACAACTTTCCCTAAAAAAACGACAGAATTGGTTTAAAATCTGATAAAAAGATACCTTTAGATAAATGTTTTCTTATAACATAAATTATTTGAAAGTTTCATATTTTATTAATATATAATTTTGTAGTTCTAATAGTGTACAAGGCATGTCAATGTTGATAAATATCGATGTAGTTTCATGTATTCTGTTGATAATTTAAAAGTAATTTTATGCAAATAATTTATTTTGTAATCATTACGTAGCCTTTACCACGTGACTTTTATTATCTGCATGTGGCTGAAAATTAATACTAAAGACGATTCAGGTAGTAATTTCTTCTTAAATTAAATTGTTTTCTAAGGAAAAATAAGCCATATCGAATTAAGTGTAATGACATGTTTAAACATTCAGAAAATTACGCGGTTTTACTGAATGGAAGAAGTTCTCATTCAGCCAGTCAGTTTCTAAGCATACGTAAACGTTAAACCTCAGGAGGCAGTGCACAGTTTCAGTTGGCAACTTTCGAATTTGCCATGGTCAAATTTACAGTTTTGAGATTGAAGTTGATATTTTAGCTTCATAAAATTGAAAATTGTTAAATTTAAAGTTTCAATGGCTAGTACTGTGTTTCAGTTATTTAGTCTAATTTATTTTAGTGTGGAGATTTGTGGATTCGAATATATATTAATAAAGCTACCTCGAAAATCAACTCTTCAATATTAAAGTAGGAAGAAGACTTTAAGTGTTGAAGAAAAGAGCTGGATGACACCTAATTTTAATGATAATTTCAGATTAATGGTGTTTGAGAAAGAAAACACAATGCAAAATATGATATTTACACCGACCTTAATGTTTCTGTAGGACTTAAATGACTGTTTTTGTAATATTATCTAGCAATAAAAATAGCTGTCAAAACACTAGAAGTTAGGCATGTTATATTGATTGTTTGCTGTGAGATGCATGCTTTTATTTGGAAAATGAAGTGCATTTATTTTACAAATTAGTCGTGAGGTTAGAGACTTGTATGCGATTGTATGAGAGGTTTAAAACCGTTTAGATTGTAACGCTGTCTGTTGTTTTCCGAGAAGCCTTGTGAATTTTTTACTACCTCCTCATGTATAACATACGGAGACATATAAGTTTGCTATATATTTTACAACTCTTCGTTTCTGTGGTAACTGACAAAAATACAAAAATCCCCAACCCATCCCCACCGCCCCAGTATAAATTAGTAAATCATTTCAGCTTTTCAATATACTCATGTGTTTTCTCTAAGCTTTAAACATTTAATCTTTTTCAGAATATTGTTCACGTTTATGTATATTTTATTTTACATGAACTTAATATTATTATTTAAACAAAATTGTGATTTTTTTCTAGGATTTGTTTCAGTAGGATTTGCTAAGCTAGACTAATTATATTAAAACAATATGACATATTTACAGTACCAAGAATAGTTTTAAACCATATCTGTAATATTGTCTGTAATACTGACCTTTCATTCTCTCATTTATCTGTTCATGGATTGTTTCAAACTTAATCTCAGAACTCGCCACACTTTCAAGCATTTCTGACGTCACATTTTTCTATAGTTCAGTTTCTTCCGAAATCTTTTGTTTGTATTTTTCTAACTCTGCCGCAAATAATTGTTCGCGTTTCTCTTTTTCCTTTTCTTCCCTGGACTTTACTTCATTAAAAAAATCCAGGCAGTTTTTACTTTTCTCTAACTCTACAGCAAATAATTCATCGCGTTCCTCCTTTTCCTTGGCTTCTCGTGCCTTTACACCGTTAATAAAATCCTCGAATTTCTGAACTTTGTCCTCAATTCTCAATATTTTCATTAAAATTTTCTCGTCGTAGTCAAACCTCGAAAAACATTTAGGTTCTCCAGGTTCTCCGTTGACGACGGAAAAACACAGTATCACGACGGAATAATATTTCAACATCATATTAATTTATTATATATCAGTGGCCAGATCTTTGCATCCACACGTTCAAGCGTTATATCGCATAAATTAAGTTACTATCACCTATATATATTTGCTCGTTCATATTGTAACGAGAATCTTGAATACATTTTCTCCCAAGATTGTGATGGGCTGTTCATGATGTTCAGGAGACTATGAAAATATTTCAATGGGTTTTAGCAAAAACCCATTTAATAAACCTCACATATAAGTTTGTAACCATAGTTTTGAAATTATCATTTTCTTAATATTTGTATTTTTTCGTAGTTTGAACATTATTTCTCAAAGAATAAGTTAAGAAAAAGTATGGTTGTGTTACAAACAGACATAAACAACTGTTTAAATCAAGTTAGAAACGTTTCACCAACCTTTCCTATTTCATATACGAAGAAAATCTTTTCCCATATCACTGTGCCAACGGTTTAAATGGAATTCTAATTGCAATCATTGATTTCAGATGTTTAATTGTAACTTGGCATAAGTGTTTTGATCGTTGAATTAACGTCATTAATGAGAACCGAGTGAGATGATCCGTTTGCATCTCACAGTGTACAACCGGTGGCACTGAAATAATTAAGAATATTGTTTAAAAAATAAGCAAAATGATAAAGAAAAAAATGTAGAAAAATGGATCTATGTGTAATATATAGAGGATATTTGTTTGTTATGCATATAAGATTGAAATATATTTCACTGAGTGAACACCAGATGCAATATTTTCACGAGTGGCGTAGTGAATTTATAATAGCTGGTGATCACGAATGAAATATATTTCAATCTTATATGTAAAATAAATAAATTTTATTTTTATTTCAAGCCTTTTAAGTGAATATAAATATTTTTTACTTATTTTGCCACGTTACGTTGCGCTTTCTCATTAATGACGTCATCAGATCATGACGTCACATCATCACTTTTGAAATATAGTTCTGTTAAATTTCTCTTATTTTGTTACATTTTAAACACCAAGCGTGATAAAATCGACTCTTTTTCCCTAAAGAAGCAAATGTACGTATGACGGCATTTATTTATTGCAGTTATTCCATAAAGTTATGTTATTCTTTCATCTGCATTCAGATATAGTCCGGTTACAGTGAAAATTATATTTTATAAATTTATTTAGTGATGTATCAGAATATAGTCATTTGATATATTACAATAAAAGACTGGAAAACATGAAATAAAGTAGTATTTTGTTGGTATTCAATTACATATCAATGCATGTATCATCTTACAAAATCAAATGTTCAATTGATAAGTCGTACAGGGAGTCGAACTTGTTGAGATACATTCTGCTACATATTGTTTATTGTTTCTATGGTGTCAGATATCACTCTGTTTTTGTTGTAGCTGTATTGTAGTATGACTTGTTGTCAAACTTGTCCAGACCTGTCTAATGATTCATCAGTTTCGTTTTACATTCAATTTATTGCCAGCCATACTCAACACCTCATATGAATATGACAAAGGTATTAAAACAGCCACGATTTGACAACACACTTTTTGTGCACTAGAATGGAAGAATATTATCCCCCAAAGAAAATCCTATGTAGGGTTAAATAACTAGAATAAGCGACCTCTACAATTTATTGCATATTAGATAATGGAACATTAAGAAAGTCACGATGGAAAATTCTACCGTCTCTTGTTTTGGTTTTCTGCCACAGAGATCGCAAAAAACTCGTTGTTTAGTTACCTTGATAATAGAAAAAATAAATAGATTTTTGATAATAATTTTGATAAAGTCCGCCAACCAGTTTGTAAGCAGACGTAAACGTTTTACCTCAAGAGGCAGTATACAATTTCATTTGGCAAGTTTCGAATTTGCTATGGTCAAATTAACATATGATAGACAGTTCCGAAATTGAAGTTGATATTTGAGCTTCGTGATATTGCTATATTTTAAGTTTTCCTTGCTAGTGCTGTGTTTCAGATATTTAGCCAAATTGATTTAAGTGGTGTTAGCCACACATTTAAAGAGATTACTTGTTAGATTCGAATATATTTTTCATGGAGCTTTCTCTAAAATAAAGAGCATGAAGAAGGCTTAAAATAGTGAAGGAAAAGACTCAAGGACACCCTTTCTCTTGTTATTTTCAGATTGTCAAAAATACATATACATTTACCGACCTTAATGTTTCTGTAGGACTTCAATAATAGAAGACAACAGTCAAAATGAAAAAAGAGATGTTAGTCGTGTATTATTAATTGGTTTTAGGAGAATATGGTAGATTGCCCTTAAGTATTTTGTTTAATATGACAAACAGCATAAGCTGTTTTTGTACACGTCTGATCTTTATGTAGATTTACTTAAAAGAACAGTGCTATTTAATTTAATTTTTAAGTCACTAGACGAAGTAGGTCGAATATATTGAGTCACCAAAACAAAACATGTACTGTTGAAGTATTGTTTTGGTTTTGTCTGGATATCTCAAGAACTTGGTGACATCAATAATTATAGGCAGACAAAATAATATCCCGAAAAGAGAACGTTTGTGTACAACTTGTCATGATAACATAGGGGTTCCATGCTTTCTTTATAATTGTGTCAAATATACAATCATATTCGCAAAAATTATTGATTCATTTGGTAATTTGTAGGAAAAGAACTGCAGAAATTTATATATTGATACGTACACGTGACATTAACTCATTAAGGAAGCTTGTGATTTATGTATATGGTTTAATGGACAATATAAAAATTAGTCTTTGATAACAATTATAAATGTTGTAAAGGCGACGGGACCATATTAAAAATGGTGTATGTATATAGGGCCTGATGCCTTAGAACACAAAGATTCTTTTTTAATCTTGAATCTTGTGATAACAGACTACAGACATATTTTCATGTTTAAATGTTGAATTTTGCTAAAGCTGGCGCTAGGTTGGCATGGACGGAAACTTACATTTATCAGTGCTGCTCATGAACAGGCTCAATCAAACCGAGCCTGCAACATTTCAATTTGGTCGTTTTGTGCTTTCTTTAAGGATATTGTTTTTCTCTATTGTATGCGAGGTTTTGATTGTGCTGATTTCATTTGTTTGTCGAGAAGCTTGTAAAACTGTTTACTGCTTCCTCTTGTATAACATACAGAGTCATATAAGGCGTGCTAATAATTTACAATTCTACCTTTCTTTGTCAATTGAAATTACTTATATACAAAAAAACAAAACAAAAAAAACAGAAAATATTACACTATGTTAGCTCGTACAATAGACTCACGCGTTTTATCCAGGTTTTAACATTATTATTCAGAATATTGTTGACGTTTATATATAATTTATAATAGATAGATTTAATATAAAAAAATGTTACTTTTTGCACCAATTGCCTTAGTAGAATTTGCTAAGCTAGACCGTTTATATTAAGACAATATCACTTATTTGCAATAACAAGAATAATTAAAGATAAATTTAATATAAAAATGTTATAATTCCAGCATTTGTTATAGTAAGATTTGCTAAGCTGGACGACCATTTCACTTATTTACAGTAACATTAATAATGTGATATTCATTTCTGTAATACTTTATGTGGAACTGACCTTTCATTCTCTCATTTATTTGTTTATGAACATTTTCAAACTCCATCTTAGAATTCGCCACACTTTCAAGCATTTCTGACGTCACATTTTTCTGTCGTTTGACTTCTTCCGCATTCTCTTTATTGTATTGCTCTAGTTTTTGTAACTCTGCGGCAAACAACTTAGATCGTTCTTCTGTTTCTTTTTCCTCTTTCGAATTTAGCTCTTTCATGAATTCTTGAAAGTTTTTAGCTTTCTCTAACTCTGCGGCAAACAATTCATCGCGTTTCTCCTTTTCCTTGGCTTCTCGTGCCTTAATTCCATTAATAAAATCCTCAAATTTCTGTACTTTGTCTTCAAATCCTAACAATTTCATTAACAGTTTTTCGTCATAGTCAAACCTCGAAAAACATTAAGGTTCTTCATAATCTCCTTTGACGACCGAAAAACACAGTATCACGACGGAATAATATTTCAACAACATGTTACAACAGTGGAAAGATCCTTGCATGCACTTGTTCAATAGTAGTATCGCATCAATTGACTACTACCCTTATGTTTGCTCGCTGATATAGTTACGAGAAGATAATTAGGATAGAATATTTTCTCCTAAGATTGTAATGGGCTAACGGCTCGGGTTATATTTACAAATAGCCGTTTATATAGGGCCATATAACCTGTCAACGATCTTTATAACTTATAATGTAATGCGGAAGCCATGGAAGGAAATTATTATTTATTACTTATTATTTTTTACGAAAATAAGTTTAACATAATTATCAATTATAATATATTACTTATCATTTTTAACTTACTAGTATTATTTATCACTTATTACTTATTTCAGTCGAATATATCTTAGTTACATAATAATTTAATAATTATTTATATTTTAAACTTATTTATTGCATACATTATATAATATACATTAGACTACAACATACACAGCTTTCAAATGAGATATACGACTGAATTAAATAATAAGTGATACATAATAAGTTATAAATGGCAAGTTTCCGCACTGTTTCGTTTACTTTATTTTCGGCATTCTTTTCTTCGTTATGTAGCACTCCTGCTAGCCTCCACACTGTTTTGTTCAACATATTTTCTTCCTGTGTTACTAATTCTTGTAACGCTGTTGTAATTTTCCGTTGTCTTATTTCCTCTTCCGTACTTCTTTTCCTATATTCATTGAGTTCATTGTAAAACAGAGTTGCTCGTTGTGCTTGCTCTGATACCAAAGTGTCCTTCATTTCTTTGATTTCATTTTCAAATTTTCTAATCTTGTCTTCAAATATCAGTTGTTTAGAAGCATCTTTTCATGATAGTCAAATCGTGAATAACACTTAGGTTCGAGCTCAGTACTGTTCACCACTGTAAATAAAAACATAAGAACACAAAAGTAGAATTCCATTATGTTAGACAACTAGAAGCGGTCTAAATTATATCTTAAACGTACCTACGTATTTAAAATAATTTGCTACAAAGGCACGTATTATGTAAAGAAAATTAGACACAAGCACTTGAAAGAGGGTTCTATCGATGTTTAACTTGTGATAAATGACTACTTATTCAGCAATTGTTACATAAAAATGTGAGTT